TATTATTGTTTGCAGTCGGACCAATGTGGATCGGATTGGGGTTGGTCACGATGTAGTGCACTGTGTATTCATTCTTACCTTTTTTAAGGGCGTATTGGATTACTGCTCATCGACTATGGGTGCTACTATACATGCTCTTAGGAATGTAGCAAATTCAAGCGACATATTGCCAGCAGCAAATGTAAATGGATGGCGTGGTTTACGATAAAGGTTCGTAAAAGTTATGGTACGATAATAAAGTAGCACAATATGGATTGTGTTGGGGGAGTAATCAACGATCTCACTTGATGCTCTTCCTTGCATACTTGGACTTCTTCTACGCATTGTTTCTTACACTTCCTTTTCTTATGCACGGCCTGTTACTTTTCACTACGATCATGGCTATTGCACAGGCCACCACTTTCTTCAACGATTTAATATCCAGTGCTACGGGAACGCCAAGTGGATACAACTTTGTCATGCTCAAGGTGTAAGGTGGTAGGTAAGATTGGAATATAGAAAGATGGATAAAGTGCTGGTCGGTGGAATCGACGCGCTACTTGCATAATCTGTGGCAAATGTTTGGATCGGATTTTGTGAGTGTGCATGTGATGAGTACTTTTCAAAAGTTCTTTTTTTTGGTTCACTGGATTCCCTTTCTCTTTCCTCTTCCTCCTCCTTCTTCTTCTTCCTCTCACTACGTAACAGATACAATAGCCATTTCTATATATATCGATTTTTATTTACGGTCTTGTTTGAAGGTGATTCTCTTGGCTCTTATTCTTTCCTTTTTACATTTTTCTACGGTTTATCTTGCTTATACTAATGCACGCCTTCATTATACCATTTCATACAACACAGTTCGTACTTTATACCTTTTGAAGCTGCTGTCGCTGCCAGATGTTATATATAGCTAGAAGAGCGTAAGTTTCCCTTTTTTCATTTTATCTACTGTATACCATTTATCCATAACCCTGACTAACTACAATCTATCACCCATCTCATCGTGCCACATGTACACTACGAACTTATTCATGCCTTGCTAAGGCTTCCTAACGTGATGAAATGGAGTGCTACTATTACGGCTGACTCATATGGATGATAAGGATCAAGGCCTTATAGGTATATGTATCTTTGTTAGTACTTTTTTCCTATGACATATGACGAGCTTCGTTGTCTCTGCACCATTGGTATATATCAAACTGCTCCTTTCGCGGCCGGTCTTTAACTCCTTCATCCTATGAATTATGCATTCTGGATTCTTCACTAACAATCTTCATTGTGTCTTTTAGGTATGTCATCTCCAAAATCGTCTATGAACATCTCCTTCTGCGCTGCTTTTGCTTTCACTTATAATTTGACTCAACATGCATTTTTCCGTAGCAGGACTGCCATCCTTTGCACTATCTCTTTTCGACTACAGCCTTCCTTTTAAAATCATTACATAACATAGACTTACATTTGATGACGTTCTTTTAATGTTCTATAGAGCATAATCTTGTATTGATTTTTTATACAAAATATAATAAAAACGGTTGTGGACACCCATAATAATATATATATTACACATGACCATGGATATAAAAACCAATAGCATGCTCTGTCCGTTTACTATATGTGTGATAAAAAGAACGAAAATATGCAATGCGTAATCCTTCTTTTTACGAACCTAGTACAGAAGGCACCCGGTCCAAATGCAATGTATAGTAAGACCGTTATAGACATCTACATGCATGATGTAATCAAATTATGAGCTTGGGGGACTACATGCGCATAAAAATATCAAGGTGTAAAAAGACCTTGATATTTACTCGAAAAGCTAAATATCAAGGTGTTTGAAAACACCTTTATATTTTATAGAAAAGCTGTATATCAAGGTAATATCAAGCTCTTTTCTACCCCTTGATATTCCCCTGCAAGCCCAGTGACTGGATGGTGAGATACAGCCGTGCGGGAATAGCTGGTGCTTTTATCTGCCAATTTGCCTGATTAAAAAAAAAGGAAATAAACACGCACTGCCGTGGCTGATGCTACTTGAACAAAACCTAATGCAACATAATCGACGTTGTTATTTCGTTACTCACGTCCTCGTTTAACGTAAGAAAAGAAGTGATCTGTCCTCTAAAGACTTGTGCAAGTTTTACTACCTTGATGTTGTAGTCATGCTGTGATGTATGCAAGTCAACGCCATTGTAATTAAGTTTGACCGTTATAATTATCGGGTGCCGTAGCTTCCGTTGGTTGTAATGCCTGTTGCTGTGGTGCTGCTGTTGCTGCTGGAGTAGGTTGCCGCCCTCGTCAAGTGGCTATAGTTTCACAATTACTAGTAGTAAAAGAGATTAGATCATTCGCCATCACAATGCCACTTTTTTTTTAACAACTTGACATCTCAAGACTCAATACCCTTTTTTTGCAAGCGCACTTGCTTCAATATGTTTCGAATAAAGATGGCAGTAAACGAGTGTGTTATGGAACAAAAAAAAATAAAGTGGAGCTGGCTCTTCTGCTATTTTGCTGTCTTGCTCATCACGTTCTGGTAATTTGATTGGCCAAAACCCGGGGTCAGGCCAGGGTCGTCCGTCGCCACATGAACTGAAATCTCGGGGTCATCGGGGTCACTCGTTATTATTGAGCCTTCAAAGGCAATTTGCAGCAGCAACGCTGTATATACCGGGTGTATGCTCCAGGAACGTCCACAGATTGGAATATAATATACAAACATGCATCATAACCGCAGATGCCACATCCATTAGTGAATTTAAAAGCTTAAAGAGTATAGAGCACCATTTGCACAATGCACGACAACAGAATCTCATTTCATAAAATACCAATTTATTATAACATGCTAATACTATACACTCTCTATTACGTCCTTACCTGCACATAAGCGTCACCACCACAGAACTATCAGAGAAAACCAGCTTTGCTACGATTATCTGCATTATATGCTTCCCATCCGCATCTATAAAACAACGGGATATTGCTATGTCTGGATCCTTGTCGCACTAATAACTTGCTTGAAGCACCTCTTACATATAATCCGCACGTTCTTTTCACCGCTGTTGCTCGTCGATACGACATGGTAGAGACACCAGACCACCAGATTCACGTTCGTCAGCTCGTTCTCATTCTACTTCAGTAAGCGGTTCGTTTTTTGGAGTACTGGATGGCGAGATATTGTCGTGTGGGAATAGCTCCTTTTTATAGCTGACTTTGGTGTATATATATATATATAGCATACACTATAAGTGTACGTGCAGCGTTCCTGGTTGTCGCTCGTCGACATGGTATGGGAGAGCCACCATATCAATATCGTCACGTTCGTCTGCTCGTCCTGATTCTGGCACATTAAGCGGTTCGTTGTTTGGAGTACTGGATGGTGAGATATCGTCATGCGGTAAATCGCTCCTTTTTGGCTGACTTTGGTGTATATGTATATGATCCACTGTAAAGTGCATGCGTACCGCTCCTAGATGTTGCTCGTCGATACGACATGGCAGAGACACCAGACCACCGTCGCCACGTTTGTCTGCTCTTCCTTATTCTATCACACTAAACGGTTCGTTTTTTGAGTACTGGATGGTGAGATATCGTCGTGTGTGAATCGCTCCTTTTTTAGCTGACTTTGGTGTATATATATATATATGATCCACAATAAAAGTGCACGTGTAGCGTTCCTGGCTATTGCTCGTCGATACGACATGGCAGAGACACCAGACCACCGTCGCCACGTTTGTCTGCTCTTCCTTATTCTATCACACTAAACGGTTCGTTTTTTTGAGTACTGGATGGTGAGATATCGTCGTGCGGGGATCGCTCCTTTTTAGCTGACTTTGGTGTATATGTATATGATCCACAGTAAAATGCACGCGTACCGTTCCTAGCTTTTGCTCGTCGTAAAGACATGGTAGAGACACCAGACCAATATCGTCACGCCCGTCAGCTCGTCCTTATTCTACTACAGTAAATAGTTCGTTTTTTGGAGTACTGGATGGCGAGATATCGTCGTGCGGGGATAGCTTCTTTTTTTGTCTGCCAGTTTGCCTGATACAAAGAAAGAAATAAACACGTGCCGCTATGGCTGATGCCCCTTGTAGAAAGTTAATGGCATATACTCGACGTTTTCACCTTGTTATTCGCAACCTCGTATACCGTAAAAAAGAAAAGCGGCCTGTATTGTGCAGGCTGGTGCAAGGTTTGCTGCTTTATGTTGTGGTCATGCTGTGATGCAGGCAAGTCAATGGTATTGTAATAAACTTTGCCCGTTATTATTATCGGGTGCCGTAGCTTCCGTTTGTTGTAACAGTTGCTGCTGTAGTGCTGCTATTGCTACTGGAGTACGTTGCTGTCCTCGTCAAATGGCTAATAGTTTCAGCAATTGCTACTAGCAAAAGAGAGTAAACCATTCGCCATCCCAATGCCACTGCTCCTCTAGCAATTAACATCCCAGAAACTAAATACCTTTTTTTGCAACGGCTCTTGCTTTAATATGTATAGAATAAAAAGCGGTAGTAAACGATTGTGTTGAAGAGTAAGTAATAAAAGAAGTGGAGCTGGCTCTTCTGCTATTTTGCTGTCTTACTCATCACGTTCTGGTAATTTGATTGGCTAAATCCTGGGGTCAGGCCGGGGTCAGGCCGGGGTCATTTGCCGCCACTTGAATTGAAATGTCAGGGTCATCGGGGTCACTCATTTTCGCTGTGGCGACTTCGTTGCTACGCCGAAAATGATTCTAGGACTTGTGCGAGCTTAAAAAGGGTGTGGTGATGTTCGATGCTGCTAGCAATCAGGACGTGTTGGTGGTGGCGCCGCTGTGCTTTATTTCGGCCGACAATCTACGGCACGCCGAACTCTTGTGTAGCAAAGGCCTTGCTTCAACTTTCCCTTGTCGCAAGTGCTACTACTATAAACGATGTGATGAGCACTGGGTAGCTCCACCTCGCAATATTACTGACGTTGCAATGCTGTCAATGGGTCTTGATCTGGAGGATCCGGTGCGATTGCCAAATGACACATTTACAATGAATCCTACTGCTGTAGGATATAAAATGACTAGTGGGGAGGCGTTGGGCAAGCTCGAGGCGTTTGACATTACGAAAGACTGCCTAGTAGAGATACTGCACACCACGATGCTGTGAGTCACTAAATATCTCTTGCTTGAATTTTGCAATTATCTTGACAGCGACGAGCTCAAGTGCCACAGCTACGACTCGAAAGCCTTTCGTCGCATGCTCAGCAGTAGTCTGCGTCTTCGCCGTTCCTTTGTCGGTCGCGATTACAAGGTTATTAGCCAGCAAGCAGCCGTCATCCTCAACGATCTCCTCCATCATAGTTGGTCAGCAAAAAGCGAGGAGAAAATGGAGGGTCTCTGGGCGTTCTTTGACTGCTTCCGTGTACACGGAGAGGTCATGTCGCTATTATTTATATCCAAGATAGAAACAAAGTTCTCTATGTACAAGCTGCTGCTGAACAAGAAGACGGAGGAATTGACGGCTATGATTGGTGTTGTCGACAATTTCCTTATTGCGCAAGGAAATATGACCGCCAACAGTAAGATGGGTAACAAGCCCAAGCTATACATCTTACATCACATCGTGGAGGATATCGAACGTTTCGCCACTGCTATTCATTTTGAATCAGAAAAAGGCGAACAGTTCAACAAATTCCTCCGAGAACACATCTTCCACACCAACCGCCACAACCCTTCGCGAGACCTACTTGTTTCCTTTGGATGGTATACAATGTTTCGTTGCATTGTCAATGGAGGCTATTTTCCCCATGTCGCGTCCGGTCGACTTGTTCATGCCAGCAACAAGATCATTGATTTTGTACGAGCAAACGACAGTTTCCGCAAGTTGTACTGCGGAGCTAACCGTGAAAACGTCGACAACAATGAGCACAAGGTGACTCTTAAGCGAGGCGTCAGCGGTCTCTTTAGGATCAGAAAGAGCAGTGGGTGTCAAGATGTCTTGGCTGAAATTACAAGTTTGAACAAGCGTACAGGAGCAGTGTACTTAAAATTGTTTAAGCCTGTAATCACTCCGTACCCTACTGTTGACTTCTCACGGTTATCCTCTCTATATACAACGAACTTTTCCACGTCCATTTATATGAACACCAGTAAGAATGATGCTGCCAATATCAGATTAAGGCGCTCAGGAACCGGTACGTTGGAGGTACATCTTCCAGAGATAAGTCTCTTGGAAGCATTGGATATCCAAGTTCAAGCTACTGGTCAACAAGAGCGCATCATCAACATTGGCAAGTTCGGTTCGTGGTGGAGGCTTTTGGTGTTGGCTCCGGAAGAAGTCTCGTCGTTGTGAAGACCTGTACTTCTCTTATGACTAAATTCCACTATGCTCTCTTTTTCTACTTTTCTGCTTGTAATTCTTTATGTTCTTCCCATTATCCTTTATGTTCTTCTCATTGTCATTATGCTCTTCCTATTGTCTTTATTATGCTCTTCCCATTATCTTTATGCTCTTTCTATTTCCTGCTGTTTTTTTTATGTAAGTTCACCTACTTATTTCCTATGTCTCACTCATTATCATTTCATCTCTCTCTTACTGTATGCTTAACTCTTGATATATGCTGCCAACATCATTGAACCAACATCCTTCTTTCATGCAGAAATGACTTGACAAAAATTAATCACTTTTCTATGTCACATGAGCCAGACCCCTGAAAAAGGCCCCCCATCCAGCCAAAAGGCAGATGCATAAGACAGCTGTAGGTAAGTTTTTAGGCTATAACTTTATTTTTCGTGCAATATAGAGACTTTGATGAATAAACAATTACAATAAAATATTATATTAAATTATATATAGAAAAAAAAATATAATTAGAAATTTAATATGAAAATTTTATAATTCTTATTTATGTTTTAGATACTTTAAAAAATGTTTAAATATATATTATTATATAATACATAATTTATAGTTATTTAGTTTTTAAAAAGTTATTAAATATTTTTATCATTTTAAAAAATAAATTCCAAAAACATATTATTCATTATGAACAAAAATTTGTAAAATAAAACATAAATAATTTTAATAATTGAAAGTAGCGGAATGGTAATGAGCACCCCTCCTTTAGGCAAGGAATACCTGGACGCAGCCTAACTTGACAATGAGATTTAGAGATGGAAGGTTGCAGGGGGAGGCAAGCCTTTCATGGGGTAATTAAAACAACAACAACTTTCCTTAAATATAATTTATTATTTATTTTACTGTTATTATTTATTCATCTTTAGCTAATCATAGCGCATTTTCTGGGTGGTACAGTGCCATCTTTGCCTTTTTGAGCATCCATAGTGAATGGGGGTGTATGTCTCCTATTGCTGTAGCCCGGGAAAATGTTTAGCCGTCAGGAAAACCAATTACCCGTCTAATTCTTTTTTAGGAAGTCACGTGATCTAAGCCACTTACTAAACCCCAAGGGGTGACTGTAAGAATTTACCCGGTGGCTTGGTGGCTTGGTGGCTTGGTAAGTGGCTTAGATCACGTGACTTCCTAAAAAAGAAATAGACAGGTAATTAGTTTTCCCAACGGCTAAACGTTTTCCCGAGCTACAGCAATAGCAGATATGTATACTTAATTTTTTAAAATCTTTGCGTTGGTGAAGTGGTCTAAGAAGACTGTTTAATAATTTATTGATTATAATGATTTTTATTTTTAAAATATAATTTAATTTTTAAATTTTATTTCTAAATAAAAAATAATGATCATTATAAAAGGGGGTGGTCTGAGAAAAAATCTTTGATTTTTTTGAAGACGTAGCTGGTCATTGAGACGGTAGTCGAAACCCTAGAATAACGGTAGTTATTCCAAACACTTGTCTACAAGTGTCCTCATGAACAGTGTCCTAACGTACTAGCCTTATATCCTACCTTTGTGTAATAGTCGTAGTCACATCCCCCTATTCTATAACTTAGTATATATATTAATATCCCCCAATTCAATAAAAGTCAGTTGTTACACTGGACTCTTATATGTGGTAGAGAAGCAAAAAACTACGATGTTTCCACATAATCGTCCTACGGATCAGACTGATCAAAGCAACCAAGACAACAATCCTAAGTTGCTCGAACAGAACTTGCCGCCAGGTTATCAGCAACAGCAGCTTCCACAACAACTCCTCCTGTCACCTGAATAGCAATTCCAATTTCTTCAAAGTGAATTGAATTATCGCCGCGAGATAGAAAGAATGCAGCAACAACTTCTCCATCAGCAAGAGCGAGAACTGGAACATCAATGTGAGTGGCAAGCAGCACGAGACGAAGCACTCGTCGAGCAAGAGCGACGACATCAAGCCGAAATTGAACAACTAACTCGGCACATGCATACTATGTATGAGAACCTCACCCACCAGTCGCCAACACTTGGAAATCAACAAGTAACAACACAAATCCACAGTTTACTAACTGCTTTGGAGCAACAAGAACTTCGCCGGCAGGAAAATCAACAGCAACTTTTCAGTCGAATTGAGGAGTGGAGAAACACGAACACAGGAGCTGCATCTGTAACCTCGCAAGGAGAAACACATGCAACAGCAGAGCAACCCCTCATTTCAGCAATAGAAAGCTTAACACTCGTACTGCAGCAATGCACAGAAAGAAGTACGAATCAATTGGCAGCCAGTTCATCACAAGGCGATCAACATCAGCAACCGGCACAATCGAATAGGCCAACAGCGATGGTTATTGAATTATCAAGCGAGCCGGATGATCGCTTCGAAACACCCAGCGACGATGCAGCAACAGAGCATGATGACACAACAAGAGATAGCAACGGCTCATCAGGTAATCGTCAAATGGTAGTACGTGTGGCTCGACAGAACGAGACAGTAGCCTGAAAGACCAAAAGAAGAATAGATGTTCCAGTTTTCAAAGGCCAAGCAACTGAAGACCCTTTTTCATGGATGCTTACCTTTGAAAAGGCTAGCGAATACTATGGTTGGGATGACGAGGACGAGCGAAAAGAATTCATGGTGTCAATGTAAGGCCAAGTAGTCTATTGGTGGGATGGACTTATCGTAACCGAAAAACAAACATATGTGAGTATCAAGCAAGCATTCACAAACTACTTTGGCGGAGGCGAAGAAGCCGTAGTAATTGCTTTGTCAGATTTGCCAAACCTGAAGCAAAACAAAGAAAGCATAGTGACATTTGGTTCATGACTCAAGTTAGCCCTGACACGGGTCTAATCAGGTATGACAGAAGAACTCAAGCTTTATTTCTTCAATGTCCATGCTAGACTAGATGTCGCAAAGGAAGTTTCGCGATACAACCCAAAGAGTCTAGATGAAGCAATCCGTTATGTGAATTCTATGGTCCCCCTATGATAACTGACTCCAAATTTAGGATGGGATTTGGCACAACCGCTGGGGATGCTCTTATGAGCAATAAACAATATGTGAGATAAAACAAGCCGTGTTTAGGTCTTGAGTGATTGAAAACAACACTTGAAAAGTTAAGTCAAAAGTGGGAGGTAGAAATTCAATGTCTTTATTCAAATAAAATGAGGGGGTATTTATATCTTTCAAAATAATTCAATACATCTATAATAATTGAACATCAAAGATGATGCTCGAAGGTTGTGGAAAGTACTCGCATCCAATGGTTATGGATGTGGAATCAAATGGAAAGTCTAGGAATGATGCTATTATTAGCTATTCCTTGGCAATTTGGAAGGTGCCAGAAGTGTGTAGAGTTGTTGCTGCGTAGTTATTGGATCGCTGTGTCCTTGACTTTATGGAAAGTGCCAGAATGTTGTAGTAATTGCGAGGCTGCTGTAGTAGAGCTCTTGTTGTTGTGTGATGTGATGTGCTTGATGTTTGTTATGCAGCTCTTTCTTGTATCTATTATTAAAATGAATCAGTACTTACAACTTACAACTCCGCAGTAACTCTAAAAAAGGAAATCCATGAGCCAGCCACCAGCTTTTTTTCAACGTGTTCCTGAATGCTGTTCAGCTTCCACCTTTCTTATTCTCAAAGAGTTTTTTTCTGTTAAAATGAGTTCCCAAGAGGTGTGTCTTTCATGCTGAAAATATAACCGTCTGCTTCTTTTGAAATCGCGAGCATTCACCGAGATTCCTGGAGATTGCATTCTTAAACCGATTGAATACATATTAACTTCTTATTTGACTTCTCATGTGGAGCAGCAACAGCCCACCATTCGCACATGTGTTTGTGGATCAACCAGTCATCAACGCACCACCTTTTTAGGATGTCGTTTGAATCCGCGTAATATTCGGCGTAGAACTGAGGAGGAGAATGTACGTTTACTGATTATCACTTTGAGTTACGTGAATAAGTTGTATTGAAATATAAGCCTGCTATTATAGGCTACCGAGCAAACCGAGCAATTTACAGCTAACCAGAGTCAAGTGGCATTTGTTGTGGACACTGAAAGTGTGCAAACAGCAACGACGCAAGGTACATACCAAACGACGAAAAAAAACTTCTCTGTATAGAACATAGTTTGCTGAGTCTGGGGCATAGTAGCTCAAGAAAATGTTGCTATACCTACTATTGTAGACGAAAATGCCTCTGTTATTACTGATGAAGATACTGCTTCCGATGCTGCTGTTGAAGATGAGGACTCTGATGCTGAAGAGAACACTAATCCTCTTCCACCACAACCGACACGCGTTTGCCCCAGTTGTGGATCACCCACCCACCAGCACTCAACCCACCATTCCTGCCCCTTTAACGCGCGTAATGTCGAGTCTGAACACGGCGCCCAGTTTCAGATCGCATGCCATGTTCCCTTCCTGCCTGAGTATGTTTTTGGTCCTAGCATCAACTACACACCAGGCGATTCGTATCACCGCCATGTTTTGCCACGCATGGATAGGGCATGTTCCTTTTGCCATGCACTCATGTGGGTGGATGAAAGAGTCTCCCGTTCTTCTGTTTCGCGTCCTCAGTTTGGCATGTGCTGTAATTATGGCAACTTTCGCTTCCCTTCACCCCGCCCATTACCCGCCGACCTTCGTGAATTGGTGACGGATCACAGTCGTGATAATGAAGTTGCTCTCAATTTCCACACCAATATCCGAGCCTACAACAACATGTTTGCTTTTGCATCCATCAAAGCAAACTACGACCGCAACTTGGCAGACGGCAGAAATGGTGTGTCGACGTATCGCATCAATGGTACACTATACCATCAAGTTGGATCCTTGCGGGCCGAGGATCACGCACAGTCCAAATTTGCCCAAATCTATTTCGCTGATACCCAAGAACAAGTGGCACGCAGGACGACATTGTTTTCGGGCCTCGACCAGGGTATCATCGATCGTATCCAAACTGTCATGACCCAACACAATCCGTTTGCACGCACTCTGACATCTGCCGCCCAACGCCTTGGTGATCGTCCAATTGGATCACTAAGCGTCGTCATTCGTGGCGCATCGGATCTGGGACGCCGCTACGATCAACAAACATATCCAGAGGTCGCAGCAATGGTTGTGGAAAATAGGGTGGATGGGTCAACCACACCACACGACATCGTCATCCATGACCGTACCCGAGGTTTGCAGTACGTTAGCTCCCTTCACTCATCCTATCTTCCGCTTCATTATGTCCTCATGTATCTATTTGGTGACCATGGTTGGTTCGCGGGCATGCGGTGTGAAGGAGTGGATGGTAATATGCATACAGTGACATTGCTCGACTATTGCGCATATATGCTCATGGTTCGCGGTGGCGACAATGAGACTTTCGATCATCATTTTGGTCGATTGTTCCAGCAATTGGTTGTCGACAATTATGCAAGAATTGAAGCATCTCGCCTGCTTTTCATTTCGTTGAATCAAGACACTTTGCGTTCCGAACTGTATGGTGGTATCGGTAATGGTGTAGATCCGCGCCAAGTCGGTCGTGCTGTGATTTTGCCGTCGTCGTTTACGGGTGGTCCGCGGTATATGAAGCAAATGCTTCAAGATGGCCTCGCAATTATTCGCCAAAGAGGAACACCAACGCTATTCATCACGTTTACGTGCAATCCCAAATGGCCAGAGATTCTTGCTGAGCTCCATCCTGGGCAAAAGGCGTATGATCGTCCCGACATCTGTTCCCGCGTATTCCATTTGAAGATTACCGAGTTGCTCAAGCATGTCAAGGAATCCAAGTGCTTTGGTCGTGTTGAGGGCTATGTCGCCACTGTCGAATTCCAGAAGCGAGGTTTACCTCATGTCCACATTCTGTTGATCCTGAACGAGCAAGACCGCCCTCACACGCCAACTGACTATGACCGATTTGTATCAGCTGAGTTACCAGACCCTGTGAGACAGCCGCAGCTGTTCCGCACAGTAACATCAAGCATGATACACGGTCCCTGTGGCAACGATAACCCCAATGCCGTCTGTATGCAGAATGGTCGATGCTCCCAGGGCTATCCAAAGCCGTACAACAACGAGACTCGCGTAAATCGTGACGGTTACCCTCTATATAAAAGGGTTTTCAATCCCCAACGTCAGCACGTTTTTGAGCGATCGGGTTTCACCGCTACCAACCAACACGTCGTCCCGTATAACCCCTACCTCTGTCACAAGTACAACGCACATATCAACGTCGAGATCTGTACCTCTGCTCGGGCAATCAAATACCTTTGCAAGTACATCACCAAAGGATCCGACAGAGCGCAGTTGGAAACAACCCGTTCTACTCCTCCCACTACTACCACCGCCACAGCCAATTCCACCACCACAACCACTACACCTACCGACCCAGCTGCTGAGCAGACCAATGAAGTCACTGATTATCAGAACGCGCGATATATTGGACCCTGTGAGGCAGTATGGCGAGCTTTAGAGTTTCGTGTGCACATGCATGATCCCATGGTTGTACGTCTCGACATTCACCTGCCAGAACAACAATTGGTGCGTTTCCGCGACACTATGACACCAGAGCAATTGGCAGCTGCTCGCGAGGCTGCAAGGGAGGGTACCAGGCTTTTGGGCTTTTTTGCTCTTTGTCGTCGGGACGAATCCGCCCAGCAATTCAAGTATCCGCAGATTCCCTGTCATTACACTTGGAATGCCCGAGAGCGTCGATGGGACCGCCGCTCCAATCCCCCTTTTAAGAATGTAGTGACGCGCATCTACTCTGCCTCTCTGTCCGATATGGAGTTGTACTGTCTTCGTCTTCTTTTGCTTTCTGTGGCTGGACCAAGAAGCTTTGACGATCTCAAACGAGACAGCGATGGCGTGAACCATCCAACATTCCAGCAAGCAGCGTTAGCACGTGGTCTTCTAGAGTCAGACGATGAATGGAATCGTTGCTTAGAAGAAGCATCAGCAGTAGCACCATCTGCATCCGCAATCCGCGCACTTTTTGTGTGCATACTTACCAGTTGCTCGCCTGCTGATCCGCTGTCCTTATGGAACACCTATCGCGATCGAATGGCCGACGACTACTTTTTGAGATGCGCAGGTCGCTCTCTATGCCAAATGAGGCCGAGATGACACCCGATCAACTAGACCAGGTTTACCAAAGAGCACTTGGTGACATCGAGTCACGTTTACAAGCAACCGGTCATCGTCTGTCAGAATTCCCCTCTCTCCCTCAAGAGTTTGTCACCGAACTTGATCTGTTGCCTCCTTTGGAAGCACTCGAGATTGTCGAACGGCGCGAGTACGATCAGGAAGAGCAGCGTCATCTTCTTCAGACGCTGTTGCCAACATTAAACGACGATCAACGACACGCCTTTGACACCATCTCCACTGCCATCAGCCGACCTGACGACGATTATAGCCCACGCGTTTTTTTCGTGAATGGACCTGGAGGAACTGGCAAGTCTCAGCTGTTCAAGACGCTTCTGAGCCATACGCGCTCCCGCGACATGA